TAACCCTAACCCTAACCCTAACCCTAACCCTAACCCTAACCCTAACCCTAACCCTAACCCTAACCCTAACCCTAACCCTAACCCTAACCCTAACCCTAACCCTAACCCTAACCCTAACCCTAACCCTAACCCTAACCCTAACCCTAACCCTAACCCTAACCCTAACCCTAACCCTAACCCTAACCCTAACCCTAACCCTAACCCTAACCCTAACCCTAACCCTAACCCTAACCCTAACCCTAACCCTAACCCTAACCCTAACCCTAACCCTAACCCTAACCCTAACCCTAACCCTAACCCTAACCCTAACCCGCACACACGCGCTCAACCATACAAATTGTGGCCGTGGCAGATGGTCGCGCCCAGCGCTCCGGTTAAACACGCAAGGCACTCATGCGCATAATAAAAAGCATGCCCAAACACACCGCACAACGGCAAAAAGTCCATACTGAAAGGCGTGGCCTTTACCAGCGGTTGTGGCACACTGCGTGCGTAAACTGCGAGACGGCCTCCACAAAACAAACTCACACCGCCACCAATCAACCACCATGGACGAGAACGAGAAAAGACACAGCGCCACCGCCTCCAGTTCAATCCCATGGCCAACGGGATGCGGCCACAGCCCCGCAGCCAACACACAGCGCACACCAAGCCAGTAATCACCCAAAGAGCCACACGCAGAAGCGGACCCTCACCCAGCCATGACGCGGCGCCTCAGTACACGCGGTCACACGGAGCACACTGTTTCCTCAATAGAACTTATGCATCGTCCAATCCCTTAAAGATGCTACTTTTCGTGATGGGCCTTAGAACACAAACAGAAGAAAATGGACAATGCAGTGGTGCTGCGACAGCGCCAAACAGAATGATTCCCTCATACCGGGGCAATTCTCCAATTACGCCTCGTATGCACACACACAATAAACACACTATATAGAAATCACCCAATGTTTTTCACCAGAAACCAAACAACCCCACTTCCCAATTTATTCTGCCACTGTTATGTTCGATAGTGTTGGACAGTTCTGAAATCTGTGCGATATACTGTCGCCTGGTGCTGGTGCATCCGCACCGTATGCACAGAAAAATGTATCCAAAAATATATAAATCCCACAATATTTCTTTACCAGAAATCAAAACTATCCCTTTCATTCCCCAATCCGTTCTCCTATTTCGTTTTTCCTCACCTCAGAGAGCTTCGTCCCTTCTGGCATCGTCCGACGATATTGACACTTGGTACTGGTGCACCTCTTCCTCCCAGAACACCGCAATCTCTCGGTTTCCAGCGCGGCTCACATTGTTGGGATTGACGTAATCACATCTCTGCCATTTTTTCATCGGCGTGCTGTCTGCGTGCTGCACATAAATAATCTCCCACGACAGGTCTCGGGATAACTCCTCCCAACCATCAAAATATGCCGCCAGGCACTCAGTGAAGTGCCTCACAGTGCTGGTATTCGTGTGGTGCGCACCCGCCGTAGCCATCCGCAGCCCAACCAGCGTCTTCGGATTTGAGTCCACAAAGAAAAAGCCGTCCACCAACGGAAAGTTTTGGACTTTCGGCTCATACAGCACCCAGTGGTCCATAGCAACCGGATTGGAAAGACGTTCCGGTGGCGGTAGAACCTCTTTTCTGGTGAAGCTCGTGTCTGAGTGCTCTTTCAGCGCACAGCTGTGTGGCTCACGCCGTCCTGGTGGCCTCAGTTCCTTGATTTTGAGTCTTATCGCACGCAGGAAATCCTCATTCAAAAATGCGGATACGGCATACTTTTCAATAATGTATGGTGGGACATAATCCCAGAACCTCAAAACAAAAAAAATAAAATCGGACTGCTTCATTTCATTCTCCAACCTGGACAAAGTTTCACGTTCGAGATGGGGAGATACCAGCAAATTCAGAGGCGACTCAATGCTGTTTCCTCGTCGTACTCGGACAACCCTCACAAGCTTTCGAGACAATTCACTGTCAATAGGCGAGTAACAGCAGCCAATACCCAAATTATGCTCTAATTCAGAGGCGGTCGACCCATACACGGCCTGCTGACACGCTTTAATGCGGTCATAACATGCCTGTTTACCAAAGATGGAGCGGAGAATTGGTCCCACTTTATTCATGCGACCCCTCACCTCCCTCCAGTATTCCGCTTGCTCCTGTAGGGGCCAATTGCGCTTCATCCAAATGCACATTGCCCTCACATCGCTTTCTTCGGGACAATTCGTTACGATTGCAGTAGCGTCCATTTTTTTTGTCCACCGTTCATATTCGTTTTTGTTTGGTGGTGTCACCACAATCATGCCCCATCCATTGCAAGGCAAACCGGCAGGCGGTTGACGAGATGCCAATGTCGCATCGTAGATAATATACCCCTTAAACCCACGCAAAGAAGAAATGTTTACAACATCATCAATCCTGGGGTCACCCCTGTACACTGACACCGTTTTTGTGATCTTGTCAAACAGGAATGATTGACTCCCAATAAAGTACGCAACCATTGGGAGCCGCTCCGCATCGTAGTGCAGCAGCTGATAGAGGAGGTACGAGCCGGCATTCATCGACTTCCCGATCCCGGCCGTCCCAATCAACACACGCTTCTTGGGCGTAAAGTCGGTCCCACGTTGACTGCTGAACCACTCGGTTAGATCGCCCTTGACAATCTGCCACACTCGCTCCACCTCACAGTTCACATAACAGACACAAGCGGATTCCGCCCCCTTCAGATTCCAAGTGTATGGCCATCCCTTTTCCGAGGTGAGCACCATCTGCCTAAAAAGTGCTGCACTGGATTGCTCCACGCTGTCATCCTTTTCGAGGGTGTCGCCAACTTTCTTGTAATTCCATGACTGCGGTGGTTCCCCCTCCCTCACCTCCATTCCCGTCCCCTCGCCGCCAGGAACTTCCACGACATGGCTCCAACTCGCATTGTACACAGACTCGTAATATCCCTTCAGCACCGTTGATTTAACCACGGACGTTGATATCTGCGCCTCAGAAAGGGCAGCGTCTAGTGTTCCCTTTGCAAGAGGAGTGACCGTATCCTTTCCTCCATAGTCCCTCCATTGCTCGAGAGAGACAACACCTTTCTCGTGAAGCATGCGTAAAACTTCCTCCATATCCAATTCCTTCATTACAGCCCTCCCCATCTTCAAATAACAAACTGCTGTCTTCATTCCTTTCAATACTTCCGCATCAGGGATATACCTCGCCGGTTCCTTAAAAAACTCCTCCAGCGAGACACTCCGATTGGTGACCAGAATGCCCTTTCCGCCAAATCTTAGCAGAAGAAAATCATTCAGCTTTACGTCCTTGACGCGAACTCTTCCTTTAAATAGTACGTCTTCGATATTAGTGGAAATGGTAAATTTCATTTCTCGCGCTCGTCTGTGCCTTTCTTCTTCCTCACGCCTTGCCCTTTCTTCCTCCCGCTTCGCTCTTTCTTCTGCCTCAAGCTGTTCTTTTGTCAGTACCTGAGTGAGAACTCCGTCTAGCTTTCCACATACAAGTGGAGTGAGCGTATCCTTTCCTTCATGGTCCTTCCATTGCCTGAGAAAATACACACCCTCGCAATGAAGCTTATTAATAGCCTCCAGCTCTTTGTATGACGGCGATGTCGTTATTGTGTGTAATAACCCTTTCTTTTTGATAAACGTCTCGGGATTCTGAACAAAAATCCCCATCTTGACGTTCCCATTTCTTTTCACAACCCACTCCTCGCCCAAGTTGCTCCGAAGGAAATCATTGAGCTTCATGTCGGTCCTGTTAGTGCTTCCCTCCAGCAGGATTTCCTCTACGGTGCTGCTAATGGTCCACTGTGGTCGCCGCGCCTCCTCCACTCTTATTTGTGTCGCAGCGGGTTGATCCGTGACATCCTCAGACTCCGGCCTCGCTCTCCTCTGACGATCTCCCTGCGGCACGGCAGACGCTTGATTTTCAGGCATTGTTTCCCTTTGATTTCCTGGTTGGATCGAGTTAGATCTAAACAATGGCCACCAAACAAAAAAGGGGAATGAGAAAAAGAAAGACAATAGGCACAGTCATGAATCAAAGCCACAACAAGAGACTCATCCACAGCAAGAGAGTCATCCACATAGTATTCGATAAAAACCACATGCACGAGGACCACCGCAACGACGGCGAGTGGATTTCATCCACCCAGCACAGTGTTGGTGAGAGCAAACAACAACAACGTGGTGCGCACGGAGGGTTTGCTCATGCATTCCGCTCGCCACGGTCCCGCACCCGTGTGGCACCGCCGTCACCGCACACACTTGACAAAAGGACGTGCGGGCACACCGCCACTGACACGCGCACAAAAAATAAAAAGTAAATTCGGTGCAGTAACAGCCACACGCAAGAACCCCAAATCGTAAACGCCACAACAGCGATGCATCAAGGTAAGTTCCCACACAACAGAAAAGAGTGCAATTTGCACATTTTATGAAAAATATCTGCAATGCGCGTGTCACAAAAGATTGCCGTGACGCTGCCTTTCATATTGCATTCGCCATTCACGTATCACTTGGAAGCACGCAGCCACCACTCCTCCGCTACACTCCCCGTGCTGCTCGTGTCGCTCCACTGGAGGAAGTTGTCACCGCACATCCCCATCACCGTGCATTGCGGAATACAAACCTACCACACGGCATGGGTGCGGTGCCACCCCGCCAATAAATCCCAGGAAATACCCCGCTGCCTCGTGTGGCACGGAGGGCAGTATCATTATGTCTGCGAAAGGCTTTTTTTCCAAACAAGAACGCGGCCCCAGCACACGCCCGTAAGAACGTTTGGTCCGTCGCACGCAAAGGGTGGAGCGGGAGAACAGCAGGAAAGACAACACCGGCAGCCATGAGCAGCCCGCACACGCCAACACACCGCTGCCCCGCATATCACCAAAAATAAAAATACAAAGAAACATGTCACATCCCAACTGCAAATCGCAGGTGCGGTTGCAGCACACACTCCCACCTCCTGGGCGTGTGCGGCCCCTCGCTGCTCGGCGCTCTAAGTGGGATCACCAAAAGCACCAATTCGGGAAAGTTCGACCACCGCCACAGCAGTCACGCTCCCCGTTTCTCACAAATGGCAAAAGCTTGCAGTGGCGCAGCGGACGGCGGCACGCACAGTCGCAGGGTAATGGACTGCCGCGGGAATCACGCAACGGCGATGCGCCCCTCCTTTGGGAAACCCAACAAAAAATACATGTGTTGCGCAGTCACCGTGAGCAACACACATTGAACCGTATTCAGCTCCACTACTGTGGCCATCCGCACTCACAGCATGAGTGCGACAACGCAGGCCAGGAAGCACGGAATAACACCACGCATCCCTCCCATAAAGGCTTTGCGGTGTCCGTGCTGCCCTCAACAATAATTCCACCCCACATCACCCCTCTGCATATCCGCAGCAAGAAGGCCCACACGGTGCACACTACATTCGGAGTTCCTAAACCGCAAACCGGATCATCAGAGTGCTGCCGTCTTCTCAATGTTGGGTAGAGGCTCCCTGATCCTTGTCGCCGCCAGCCTGCGGCATTATGGAGTGGCATTGCGTTCTCGGCATATCTCTCCATTTACTTCACTTTCCCGACGCCGCAAATGAAGTGACGTCCCACAAGTGATTTCGACCGGTCCGAAGAACGTGACGTATCAGACTCACTGAAACTGTGCGTGTGTGTTATTACGGGCGAGCGACACGATGCTCTTGCACATCCATGTATTCCGATCCTGCGCAACACCATATTCGGCGGCGCGGAAAGCGTTGGAGACCAAACACGCACAAATCGCACAATGAATGCCTCTGGAGAACAAACCCCCTATTAACGTCACCGCAGGCACCGTGACAACAAAAAACAAAAGAAATCCAACCTCTGCGCGTCCTCCCGCAAAAACGTGAAGACACACACGCTTGTCCCCTTAGCTTCACTCCAACTCTTCAAAAGTTGATAAGTCCACGGCAGGAGGAATCACGCTACTCATCCCTCGCTCCCTGTCACGAGGCATGGCACTGCGCATATCCAGTGCATCTGCATCACCCACATACGTCCCTTTGGGCATTCGCCTCGGTAGTCACCAAGCACGCGCCGCTAGAAAGTGTACTCTCAGTCTATGTTGCTTCTCCTGAGCGACCTTGCTGCCTTGCCGCACAAACAAGTCCACAATTTACGCATTCTGACTGCAGACACGTGCCAGTGGGAATTCCCGCCCTTTCCCTCAGCCTTGCCAAGGGCGTGCGCCATACAAATGCCGGTCATAGGGCAGACACACACAGGCGCCGATACCCGTGACAATGCGTGAGATACTCGCCGCAGAATGAGGTGCCGCAGGTCTCCGCTCACTGATCCAGATTGACCACGCTGAAGCCCACGATTCCCGTGGGTTTGGCATCCCGATGGATCGTCGTGGTTCGTTGACTCCCATGATGGAGGAGTCTCAAGCAAGCAAGAACCAAAAGCCTGGACACTCTGTGGAGCCAAAAAGATAGAAAACACGGGCTGGCGCGGGCACAGCTAAGCGCCATGGGAGAAGCACCTCAGCTCATCCCATGGAAAACACTTCATCAACGTCATTGCAACATTGGCCTCTTGCTTCCTGGGTGTGTGACTTCTCTCTTCACTCCGTGCCAGCCTCCGTCCGATTCCCCGCCCAGCAGCAATAAAAGTCACACTGCACTGCTTCCGCACAATCACACCTCGCGGCCAATCATCGTGACGCACCTCCAACTGCAGTCGCATCCAACCTCGAAAGCCCTCGCACCCTCCTCCCTCCTGCGTGTCGAGAGAAGACGCCTCTCTCGCGGTCTTCGCGTCCTCCCCAATAAAGCTCTGCAGTTGTGCCCAAACATCACCGGGTCTCTTGCCAAGAAGGAAACTGTGTGCGACGTGACCAATGTGAGCATACACAAATTTAAAACACGGTTTATAGGCTCTCTGGAGTGCCCTGCGTGCGCCCGCATGCACGATGGGAAAACACACGGTGCGAGTCGGGCGAGATCACCGTTCCACCTCGCATCTCCGCCAGGTGATTCATTGGCGGCTCCATCCCGCTTCACGACAGGTCGAATAACAGTGCACAATTAAGTGCGTCGTGCTCTGCATTCACATGTGGTCCGCCTTTTGGGTCCAACGTCGTCAGGTGGTGGGAAGAGAAGAGTCGTATTATCATTCCTCCATTTGCTGCTGCTCCCGCCTCATTTCCCGTAAGGAGCCACTGATCCCTCTCACTTTGGCGATAAAGGTTCCTCACGTATGGGATGCATCCTGCCTCGTGTGGCATGAGAAACGCCAGAGAGTCCCCAACGTTGCCAATGCGGGATTGACCGTCCAGTGCGGTGAGTACAACACGCTGGGTCCGTCGGAGGATCGTCGTGCACACTTCAGTCCGCCCGTGGCGGATACGATCCTCGGGCAGCCACACCTGTGCAAAACAGAAAACCCTTATGGAGAACGCCGAGCAGCTCCACCGACGTGTTGGAAAGCCTCACAAAAAGAGGTCCGGTCAACCTGCGGCACATTACCGTGCAACTTTAATACCTTGACATCGAGAAGAGCGTTTCTACCTGAGAGTGTTCGCCCGCATCATTATCATCATCACTGCTCAAATCATCTCAACAGGCAACAATGGTATCGTTCTCGTATTGCCCATGCCCGTTGGCCTCCTCCACCCGCCGCATCACGTCCGTATGAATAAAGTCTCGTCATGCACAGCGATGCGCCCGCTCGTTTCAGATAAACACCAATACTTTATAGTCACCAAGGTAGCAGTTCAGTTCTCCCTCCACAGGCACACTCATAGAGGACGTCCTTCTGTTCCCTTTGCCGAATAAACGCACCGCACCCAGTGGATAAGCCCTGGTAGTTTCACCAAAAAATAAGTGTTCGATTCCCACAGTAGCGAATATTCTGTATGTTATGGAACGCAGAGTTTGTTGTGCTAGTGCACCGCACCACCGGCCGCCTCGCAATGGTGCAAAGGTGTCATTGCCCCTGCCTGGGTGAGGCCTAAGCCCCACATTACACGTACACAGAAAAGCACACGGCGCATTCGAAAATATATTGATATTTTTTCACGGCACATCTATGGGAAGGAGCACCACCCCCGTATGCATGTTGGCAAAGCAACGGCCACACAACGGCGGTGCTAAAAAAAAACGCATCCAGAAACAGAGGAAAAAGAAGAAGGGTGTGGAACCCCCACAAGAAATGATGGATAGCCCATTTCAAACTGGCAGCAAAGAAAAGGAAAAAAGCAGCAATAGTAGTGGTGGTGACCATCATTTCCTTTTTTCTTTACTCGCTAATAACCCAAAAACGTGGGGTTCAAAAGTCCTCTTCACACAAAATTGTGCGGCAGTTAGCCTCTCTCCAACCAGCCGCCTCAATACATCCAAAAGAGCACACAATAAAACCACAAATAGCCATGGGAAAAAAAGAGAGAAAAACAATAAAAGATCCCACGGCATTAGTACGGAGGCGGAGCGACACGCTTTTCGCACAAGTAGTCGTAAAGTCGGCCAGAGCAAAAGAGATTCAGGTCCGAGTTTGCTCGGACCTCATATGCGGTTATTATGCTCCTTTGAGGCTTTTCAGCCGGCTCCTGTTCCACCCGAAGGAAGAGAGCTGGCTGAATGTGATCCTCGCCGCAAAGAGCTGCTGCATCGGGGGCCAACAAAACAAATCCTCCATATTGCGAATGTCAAGTGGGCCACCCCACCGCATTTCCACGTCACTATCGCTTGGCTGCGCACGTGCGTCTCTTCACGTACCCCGTCGTTCCTCAAGAAGCCTTTCCGCAGGAGTCCTCAAATGCAGTGGACGCTTGAGAGCAACAGGCCAAGCCTCGCAGTCGCTGTCAGTCTCACAAACTACCTCCAGTGATTTCCCACCGCGAAGAAAAAGTGCGAATGCGCGGTGGTTGTTTGTTCCAAGGCTGGACGGAGTGATGTTTTGCGTGGCATCATGGCGGTGCGTCCCATTGCCAAAAACTGCCTCCTGGCGTGTCTTTGCCAGCTGTGCCTCGCCGCTGTAGTTCACAAATGAGGTTGTGGACAGGCCGATGAGAACTTTTTCGATGTCACATATCCACATGGTGACTGGAGGTCGTTTGCGATTTAACGGGAATCCCTGACGGTCCAGATCACAGAAATGAATACGTTTGCAGTCCTCCGAGAGAAAACATAGGCGTCTGCGAGCATTGCCCTTGCTCGGTATCTTTGTCACGCAGACCCCGTTGCGTAAGTAATTCAGCACCTGATCCACAACAGAACTGAGGTGGCGCTCCGTTGTCTCGGCGTCATGCAGTTTTTCGTTTTTCTTTGCCACGTAATCATCAAGCATACGATGTCAATACACCTCGAGTCCTCGTCCCAGCTTCTCCTTGCGGGCCCATTCCTCTTCAGCGCTGGCCAAGTATGTCTGTTCCTCTTGCGTGAAGACCTCGTCAAACTGGCGTCGAATGATGTCCGTCCCCTCCGGATTCACAGGAATCTCTTCAAGGGAAATGAGTTTCGGCAAATACCCCTCGATCATTTTGACGTCGGCAGCAAGAGCCCTCTCGGCGGCGTCCTCCTTGGCTGTCGCCTGCTCGTACTTCTTCTTCCGCTCCTCGGCCAAGAGACGCACCTGTTCCGGGACTTTTGCATTCATTTCCTTAATCTGATGGATCCACTGCCTCCGCTGGCGACACCGCTCCTCCCGGACGGTCCTTCGCATCGCCTCAATAGAATGCCGCTCCTGCATGATGGCCTCTCGCCTCCTCGCCCCGTCAAGTTGAACCATCTCGAGCTGCCGCTCCTTCGCCCAAATGGCGCTCTGCCGTAGGCTGAGTCCTTGCTCCGGCTGCTGCATCGCCTGCCGCAACCTCTCAGAGGCACTCTCCTCGTCCTCTTTCCTCGTTCGGATCTTCTCCAACGTCTGCTCGTACTCCCAAATGCGGTTTTCGCGGCCGGTCTGCAGAGCACTGCTCTCCCGCTTTTTCGCCTCCAGAGTCCTCTCATGTTCGTCCAACGTGGCCCCACTTCTCTGCTCAAGCTCTTTGATCATCTTCTCCGCCTCATGCTTGGCGCGCTCGCGAACCACACTCAGCTGCCGTTCCCGCGCCTCCTCACGGTTGCTCTGAATGGCGTTGACGCGCTTCATCCCTTCCTCCTTTATGTTTGAAATGGGCCTGTTGGACCCATAGATACAAGGCCTGTAGTCGTATGCGGTCCGGGCAATCATGAGTTCATCCCGCAACTCCATGATGTCCTGATCAAGACGCCACTTGTCAACGGCAAGATCCCTTGTGGTGGATCCAATTCCGGTCGAGACAAGAATATTGCCCACACGACGAGTCATGGAGAAACAATGGAACGATTCCTCCACCCACACGGCATCCGAAAAGGCGTGAGCCAATAAAGCCGTTTCGGTAGAACCAGTGAGGCTATTGCTGCGGTTGCCTTTTTCCGTGTTGTACGCTCGGCGCAACAACTCACTGAGTTCTGACATGCCGAAGGGAACACGCAGACGACGGCGGCGAATGCCGGAGACAATTCCTGCTGCCGACACCAGTGCTCGTTGGGCCCCTTCGTAGTGTAACTGCGCGGCGGCATCAATGCCACACAAAGCGGGCCGTCCGGTATCTCCCAAGGCGACAAGTGTCAGGGAGTTTGCATCCATATAATGTGCAAACTCCGCCTCACCATCATCGCGGTAAAGCTGAAGAACGACGGTGTCGGGCAAATAAGGCGTTGCCTCCAGCTCAGGCGTTGGTTGCCTTTCACACAGCACGGGGAAAGCCATTTCTCATAGTTTTTGACGATAGTGTCCATCGCCGCTCGAGCGTCGCCGGCCAATGAGACACGAATTCGCGCCACCATTCGCACACGAGGTCCCTCCTTCAGGGAGCCCACAATAACTCCGAGCTCGTTGTCGGCATCAAGAAGGTCTGCGCGGTGCTCTTTTGACCCAATGACGTGACATGAGAGGGCAAAAATGTCCTTTTTGGTGCCCAGCCGAATAAATTCGGTGATGACTCAAGCAGCATATCCTTCTCCGGCTGCAGAGCCGTACATGAGCTGTCGCTTTGGTGACGAACGCACGCCGTAGCTGAGGGCCACCATGTTCTTGCGTTCCTGAGTAAAGTTGGGGGCGGCAGTGGCACACAATTTTCGGAAGAGTGTACTTGCGTCCGGCACGTCCAACGCCACATCGACGTCAAAAAAGGCCCCAGAAACCGCGAATCCGGCATCCCTCAGGGAATGGGGGCAATTAAACTGCGCCGTGTTGCCGTCCACTCGCATTGTCGCGGGGAGCTGCGAGGACGGCGTCGTGGTTTGGTGAGAGCAGAAACGGCTTTCGTCTCCATTGGGAGAATATCACATTGAATGCTGCGCTGTGCGTTTGTTGCATACACAGAAAAAAGGGCCAAAGACAAGAAGGAAAAAAAAGACCGAGAAAGAAACAACACTGAATAATATTCTGGGCCGCTGGCCGGATTCTGAAATTATCCAAAAAGGACAGGAGAAAAAAGTCGGTAGATGGAGAGGCAATGAGTTCGCCGTAATGTTTCCCCCAAAATATATACACATTCCGTCAATCACTGCCGTGGGCTGCTGCGCACAGTTACAAATAGAAACACTTATCCCCCGCGAGGCGGCAGGCCTTTGGGGCTCCTCCACCCACAAGGTGGGAATCACAAAGTGGGTGGGAAGGCAAAAATAAAAATAAAAAATAATAAATAATAATTCCGTCTGGCAGCTGACGGCTCCCTGACTCCCTCAATCGCGGTCTCCCAAAAGACCGTGCGATAGAAGAGAAAAAAGTTGTAAAGAGATATCTTCGTTTGCGCGAGATATGAATTTATTTGGGCAGCCAGCCGTCCTCAGAAGCATTCTTTTCACAAAATCCCATGAAAATAAAGAGAAATTCTGCGGCCCCTGTAGTGCGCAACAGCCTCCAGTGACGATGCGCCTCTGGTGGAAAAAATAAAATAAAATGAAAAAAGAGTGTGGTGAGTGTGGCACTGCCGATCACAACGGTTCTCTGAAAAGAAAAGCATTCACTGTCTAGACCCCGTAGGCACACACATATAAAAATCGTTAAAATACTTCCCAATATATTTCACCAGAACAAAATGCACTTTGTTCCCCAACTATTTCCCCAACTTTCTTCCCTATCCCTTTTCCCCCAAGATTGTTGTATTCTCATTTATCGGATTTTATTTACAAAATCAGGTGTTAACACAAACTGGTATTGGTGTACCTTTCCGTCCCAGAACGCCACAATTTTTTCTTCAGCGTCGGTTTCATTGTTGGGATTGACGTAATCACATCTCTGCCATTTTTTCATCGGCGTGCTGTCTGCGTGCTGCACATAAATAATCTCCCACGACATGTCTCGGGATAACTCCTCCCAACCATTAAAATATTCCGCCATACGTTCAGTGAACAGCTCCACAGTGCTGGGTATGGTGTGATGCTCACGCGCCGTAGTGATCTGCAGCCCAACCATTATCTTCGGTTTTGAGTCCACAAAGAAAAAGCCGTCCACCAGCGGAAAGTTATGAGTCACCGGTTTGTACAGCACCCAGTACTCTATGGCAATCCGTTTAGAAGGGTTCTCTGGTAGAACCTCTTTCCTGGTGAAGCTTTTGTTCGAATGCACTTTCAGCGCACAGCTGTGTGGCTCAGGTCGTCCTGTTAGCTTCAGTTCTTCAATTTTAGATCTTATCGCACGCAGGAAATCCTCATTCAAAAATGCGTCCAGGGCTTCATCTTCAAGAATTTGTGGAATGACATAATCCCAAATACTCAACACGAGATAAGTAAAGTCCATCCGCCTCATTTCTCTTTTCATCTTGGAGAATGTTTCACGTTCAAAATGGGGAGATATCAGTACATTCAAATGCGATTCAATGTTGTCTTTTCGTACTCGGACAACCTTCACAAGCTTGTGAGACACATGATTGCCGTCGCACGATTTGCCAGTTCCAATACCAGTGTAATACTGTAGCATCGAACCGGTGATACTATTCACAGCGCCTTCACACTCGTTAAAGCGATCCTTACACTTTTTTTCATTAAAGATGAAGCGGAGAATCGGCCCCACTTCATCCATGCGTTCCTTCACCTTTTTCCAGTAGTCCGCTTCCTCCTCCGTTTTTTCCTCCGGAAGCCGCCGATTGTGCTTCATCCAAATGCACATTGCCTTCACATCGTTTTCTTCAGGACAATTAATTATGATTTTTTCCGGTTCCGCTATCTTCGTCCAATGATAGTAATTCTTTGTGTTCGGTGATGTCACAACAATCATGCCCCATCCCTTGCAAGGCAAACCAGCAGGCGGTTGACGAGATGCCAATGCCACGTCGTAGATAATATACCCTTTCACCCCACGGTCAGACAACCCGTCCAAAATATCCACGATACTAGACGCCCCACTGCATTTTTTCACCGTTCTTGTGATCTTGTCAAATAGGAATGATTGACTCCCAATAAAGTACGCAACCATTGGGAGCCGCTCCGCATCGTAGTGCAGCAGCTGATAGAGGAGGTACGAGCCGGCATTCATCGACTTCCCAATCCCGGGCGTCCCAATCAAAACACGCCGCTTGGGCGAAGGATTGTTCCCACCGTGAATGCTGAACCACTCGGTTAGATCGCCAATGACAATCTGCCACACTCGCTCCACCTCAGAGTTCACATAGCAGTCAGGAATAATTTCACTCACCCCCCGTTTCCACGAGTACGGCCATCCCTTTTCCGAGGTGAGCACCATCAGCCTGAGACGCTCTGCACCGGATTGCTCCACACCGTCATCCTTTTCGGGAGTGTCGCCAACTTCGTTGTACTTCCATGACTGTTTCCGTTTCCCCTCCTTCACCTCCATTGCCGTCCCCGTTCTCGTCCCCTCGCCACCAGGAACTTCCACCACATGGTGCCAACTCGCATTGTACACAGACTCGTAGCATCCCTCCAGCATCACAGCTTCAGGAACCTTCGCTGCCTCAAGCATCGCTCTTTCATTTGCCTCACGTTTTTCTTTTCTCAGTACCTGAGCGAGAACCCCGTTTAGTTTTTCACATACAAGTGGAGTGAGCGTAGCCTTTCCTTGATAGTCCCTCCATTGCTCGAGAAAGTGCACACCCCCGTGGTGAAGTTTATAAATAGCCTCCAGCTCTTGGTATGACGGCGATGCCGTTATCATGCCCAATATTTCACTGTCGTTAATAAACATCGTGGGTCTCAACACAAACATCTCCATAGCGACGTTCTCATTGGTGTCCACAACGCCCCTGCCGCCCAAGTAGCTCCGAAGGAAATCGTTCAGCATCATGTTGCTCCTGTTATTGTTTCCCTCCAGCAGGATGTCCTTTACGGTGCTGCTAATGGTCCACTGTGGTCGCCGCGCCTCCTCCACTCTTATTTGTGTCGCAGCGGGTTGATCCGTGACATCCTCAGACTCCGGCCTCGCTCTCCTTTGATCATCTCCCTGCGGCACGGCAGACGCTTGATTTCCAGACATTGTTTCCCTTTGTTTTCTTGGTTGGATTGAGTTAAAGCTGAATACTAACCAACAAACGAGAGAAGAATAACAAAAGAAAATAATCACAGAAATGACTCGCAGCCAAAACAAGAGTGCCATACGCGCGGTGTGCGACGCACTGTACTCGATGCACTGGTACCACCGCAACGACGGCACGCGGGTGCCATCCACCCAGCACAGTTTTGGAGAGAGTAAGCAATAATGGCAACGTGGTGCGCACGGAAGGTTCGTCCACGCATACCGCTCGCTACGGTCTCGCACCCGTGTGGCACCGCCGTCACCGCACACACTCTGCGAGAGGACGTGGACATATCGTCACTGACAGAAACAAACAACAGTGGAAAAAAAAATTCGGTGCAGAAGCGGCCACATGCAGGGACCCCAAATCATACATGCCACAACAGCGATGCATCATGGTAATCCCCCACACAACAGAAAAACAAAAAAGCAAATTAAATGCTTTATGAAAAATTCACGCAATTCGCACAGCACAAAAGAACCATGACACTCCCTTTCTTACTGCATTCGTCATTCATATTCCCAATGCGTAACCCTGCAGATGTTGCCCCTCCATGGTGAAAGCAACTGCCTCGTTGTGGTGTCATCGCGCAGCCATCCGCCTGGGTGGGAAAAAGAAGGAAAATCAGGTGTCCTTCCACATGGAACGAGGAGGGACTCCACCGCAGTGTCCTCCATGACGCAAACACTCCGCGTCCACTGCCCGGTGTCGTGCGCGGACACCGCGAAAAGGTTTTGGGCACGCCACTGTGCCACACGGAGTGCCCCCTCGGAACGCAACAGCAGGCGTGTTCTCTTCCGGTCGCACTCGTGGCGGTGGTGGCATCCGCTGCCTCGCTGCGTGCTGCTGGCGTCGGTTACGATGCTGCGGTGTGATAGAGGGTGCCCGGCAGGAGCGGTGCTGGGCAGGGCGGGCAAAGCCCTCCGCGGCGAGACACCCAGCGCGACTCCTGACCGCGGCGCTCACGCATTTCCCTCCACTCCTCTCCCTTCATTCGGCAACCGCACAGCCGCCAGCACATTGTCCCCGAAACAACACACACGTAAAAGCGTCGTAGCATATTCTCGAGAGAACAGAGCGACAGCCACACGCTGCGGCCATCGTGCCGACAAGTCCGACGCGGCCGCACCCACACCCACAGTAGCAGACAAAAAAAGAGATCTGACACTCCGTGCCACGTCCTCGTGCGTGATGGTTCGGCATTTCAGGGCAATACCGCCACACGCCGTTCAGCATTTCCACAGAAGATGAGAGCCACGGCGCACTCTCAATGCATCTTTCTTTTTCATTTCCGCGGAATGCAGCAGCTGCCAGCACCGAGTGCACGAGAAGCATCAAGCTGCACTGCAACATGTACGCCGTGCGGTTGTGTGCCTGCAGTCACGCAAAGCAAAAAAAAAGAGCCACGCACGTGAAAGAAACAAAAAAAACACGCAGCGGAGGTGCAGGACAGAGAAAGAGAAAAGAAAGAAGGCAGCCAAAGCTCAAGAAGGCACGGAAGCCCAAAATGCGGCAACCCACAATACGTTTGCAGAAACAAAAAATAAAAACTTAAGACAAAAAAACAAGAGCAAAATAAAACGCAAAAACAGTCCCCTTGAAGAAGTTTTTCACGCTCACAAAAAGAAATGGAAAAATAACACGGTGAAGCGGAAAAACAAAAAACACGTGTATATTCTTCCCGCAAAAGTAAAAATATATTTGCGTCAGCCGTTCAACCTCCTGGTGTCCACACAACACCCACATTTCATTGGGACGTTCAGTGCGTTGCTGCACATCTTAAATCCCTTCTTCACCCCACCATCGTCGTGGAGCTCAATGCCGACTGCACGTGTAATCGGCCGACAGAAACGCTAAAGACATCCCGCCAATCTCAAAATATTCCACTATACAAAAAACAATCACATAAAATAAAGCAAAAACAAATACCCCGCGGTGCAGTCCCGGGAGGAAGAGCATGCTTTTAAATAAAGAATTGCACAGGCAGGAAAGGGATATTCAAACCAAAAATAAAATGTATAAAATAAAAGGTACGTCCATGCAAAACGTCAATTATTCCAGAAAATGCGTGGAGAGGTACATATTGCTCCCACTGGAGGCAGGGGTCCCGCGGCGTTACGCCCCGTAGAGGGCCGCAAAGCTGCACAGTCCCAGCAGCAGTACCCGCAACACGCCCCCAAGCATGGATCCGTCACCGCTTTTCTTGACCAGTTTTAGTTCATCTTCACCCAGTGGGCGGTTGTACAGAAAGAAGTTTGTCACCGTCGCACTGCTGCCGCTGCCTCCCTCGTCGCCCCCAATGTAGAAGTATGAGACTCCAGCCCCCGCGTCTCAGGTGTTCGTAGCGTCTCCGGACTCCCCATAAGCACACCATTCACGTACACACATCCCTGTGGCCGTCCTGCAGCATGAGCGTCACCTGGTATTCTTTCCCCGGCTCCCAAGTGCTGCCCGATGCTGTTTTTATTCCGTAAAACACTGTCTCCCACCTACCGTCCGCGTAGTGCGACAGCCCAATTAAGTTCGTGCTGACGGGTGCATCCAGACCCGCACCCGGTAGAGGAGTGCTCAACTTCGAAAAATTTTGGATCATCACCGTCGCCACAATAGTGAAATCGCAGCTTACAAAGGTGTGCGGCCCATTATGCTCCCGGCTGCTCACGGGCCATACTGCCCCGGACCCAAGCCCCCGTGAATTTGAGCCCATATTTGACCTTCATTGCATTCCTCGTCACAATTGCACTCACGCAAAGGTAATCGTCAATACACGTGTCACCACCGGACAATGCGTTGAAAAGGAAAACAACAAGACCCGCCGTGGGTGTGAACGACTCAGAGAAGGAGGAATCCATCTGTGCCCAACTCTTCAAGACGTAATTGATCATCCGTAGCCCCTCCGTTAGTGGGACAAGTGAAATGGTGTTGCTTGCTTTAATAATACCATCCTGTAAAATGTGCAACGCACCATCCGAGTACAGCAGGGCGTGGAAAAGTTCCAAGTTATTATCCATGGCAACGGGTCCAACAGAAAACGTGCGGTTGTTGTCCGTGACCCAAAGATGGAACACATTTTCCCTTTTTCTCCCCCGAGAGGTACCTTTTCCAAGTGTACAGCATCACCTTCACTCCCTCAATGGTCGCGGTGATAGGGGCTTCCACAGGCAAATTGTCTTCCCGAAAGACTCCCAATTTTGACTTGGTCCACACGCCTGAGAGTGTCCCAATAGCCTTTGTCAGCGTTGCCCCCATGTCATGCGAATCAAACAAACTCTGGCCATCTTTACACTGAACGATCATAAAAATTTGTTTCCTATTTCATTCGGTAATGCGGGGGTTAAAGCATGCCGCAGGAGAAAAGCCCTCTGGGAACACCCAGGTATTGCCGTTGAATAAGTGATTCTGGAGAAAGATTGATTTTCCCCATTCCTCGTCCTCAGGGTAAACACAAGTGTGTCACCCTCCATCACAATGCCTGAACTAATACCACCCCAAAATCCGACAGGTTGCCTTTAATCCTTTGGGGAATCTGCCGTGAAGGTGACTGGGTTCGACCCAGTCGATCAATGTACTTTGCACGCCGTCATTGGAGTGCGTGGCATCACCCTCAACCAGTTGAATATCTCAGCCAACCGTATTCTAGCGACCATCATTTTTTCACATATTGTAGCTTCCCACAAGTAGAAGCACTTTATTGTCCTTTGCAATCGCTGTGGGGTTGCACGCAACAACAAAAAGATCCTCTTCATTCACTGTACTAAACAGTGTGAGTACCCTCCATTTATCCTTATTGTTCTCGGCGGCAATTAACGGCCACGTCTCCGCGGCGTTGATTTACCCCGCCACAATATCAGAGGGACGCACATTCAATCTATAGTGGGAACCTTTATACTCGGTGTGACCTTCAGCAAATGCAATCGTCACTCCACCAGCACGGACAAGAGAAGGCGCAGCGAATGAATCCCTCATTCCACTTTTGCCAGGACCACTTTTTTGGTTCCACCTGCGTCTCCATCGGCACATAAATGTCAACCGGTTGTGGCATTCGCACGTCCTCTGACTGCTACCCCTCCGCGTTAGCAGCTCCACCACATCCACAGCACAACATCACGACGAGGAGGAGCAGCACCGCGGAAGTAAACACATGCCGGGACATGTTGGGTATCTGCCGCTCACTCTCTCTTCCTTCCCTCCTTCCGCTGGATCCGGTCACGCGGCGACGGTATTCTGTGCGGGGTGCCATGACTGCAGCAACACGTGAGAGCATACAAATATTTGTGTGGGTGGGCGGTGTACGGTTGGTCCTTTCAGAGCCTTACAATTTCACAGTAGCGACTCGCGCTTGTTTTCCTTCTTTCCTAGCGTGTGTCTGTGTTCAAGAAGTAGAGTGCAACAGCAACAGTGGTAATACATCAGACACGTCAGAGGGGGTTAGAGCAGAGCACCCACGCAAAGAGCGGGGTACGAGACAATCCGTAAGGGACAGCACGGAGAACCATCGCACACAGAAAAGAGCAGCAACACGGCAAGTCACGGCGGGCCGTCGGTGTGTGCGGGCCAGCCCTCACGTGGTGCAACACGCCACACCCAACGGGGAAATGACAGACAGACAGGCGGAGAGAAAGAGGGAGATGGATGCCGTCAAGAGGCACTCACAATCAACATTGCCCGTGAGCATGCGGCCACTCCACGCAGGAACACAGGAGAAAAGGATGACAGAGGAAAAAAGCAAGAAGCAGCACAACACACACGGAAGAAACAAGTTGCGGGCGGGAAAAGCACCGCCAATACCCTCAACCTGGCCGGCAACTCCACACCAGACCACACACACACACACACACACCATAGCAGTGCTGCCAGTCAGCGGGTGAGAGGATTCGGCCCTCCACACAACAAACGCACACACCGCCAGCAGTCACACACCAATGGACGAGGAGAAGAAGTGATTCCTCATCCATCCATGACGCGGCAACAACATTTCCAGCCATTCCACCCACAATGGGATTTTGTGCCCAACTCAAAGCGGTCATAGGTGGTGCATCACGCCTGCAGGAAAAGTGACTCGCCGTGCGCGCTCCCTCTCCTCCCCTCCCCTTCATGCCCACGGAGGAAGCAGCAGCCACCCGCAACCGCCAGCACACGCCACAAAAGAAGCATCAAAATCCACTGCAATGTGCATCTTGTGCGTGCATGTGGTTGTGTGCGCCTGCAGACACACGAGGCAAAGAAGTAAAAACAGGAGCAGAGCAAGTGAAGGAACACAAAAACAAAAATGTACAGCAGAAGCGCATGGCAGAAATAGGGAAAAAAAGAGTGCTCAGGCTCATGATATTGCACTGCAGACAAAGCAGCGGCAATCCATAGAAAATTTATTAAAATTAAAAACAATTCATCTTCACCTTTCCACACCTCACACCTTGAAAAAAAAAAAATGGAAAAAAAAAAAAAGAAAAAGAAAAAATGAAAAAATTGAAAAAAGTCGTCCTCTATTACTGTTTCACACAAATGATAAAAAGAAAAAGAAAATGAAAAGCCACACAAAAAGGTGCACCTAACTACCATGTTGTTCCAGAAATTGTCTGCATATATTTTGCCCGCAAAAGAAAATTAAAAAGATATTTACATGTCGTTCAACCGTCCGACCCTCCATGTGACCGCACATCGTTTATATTTCATGGGTCATCTGCGTGTTGCTGCTCCCCTCAGCCCTCTCATCGGCGCGTGAGTGCGGCCCGCAGAGCACAGTCACTCGTGTGTGTGTGGGGGCTGAGAGAGGCACGCAGACATGACGAGAGTCGCGTCTCTACATCGGGAGAGTGAGCGCAGCAAAAGAAAAAAATCATCAGAGGGGAGAGAAATGCTCACGAGGCCGACAGCGAAGGGACTGCCGGCGCGGGAAATGCACACGAAAAGCAAAACAAAACAACACGGCGGCAGGGTGTGGCTGTGTGTGTGGCGCTGCGGGTGTCTGCCCGCCCTGGCCGCAAGGAAACAAAACAAGAGGGAAAGAAATGTGTGCTCCGCCCCACAGGCCCTCGTCGCACGCCCACACGTCACGGCTCCCTCAGCGCGCCGTTCGTCGCGGCCCCTCCTCATGCGTGCAGCAGGCGAGGCGCACAGGGCCGTCGTCATGAGCGTGTCGGTGGGTGTGCGAGTGGAGCAGTTGGGCGGGAAACACACGGCACCCCTCACAGGAAGAGTGCAGAAGAAACAACAAAAGAGGGAAGAGTAGAGTAGAAAAAAAAAAGCGTCCATAGTGATTGCCCAAAGGCAACAAGCAAGATAAGGGAAATAATTAAAGCAAAAACAAGAAAAAGAAAAAGAAAAAAAAAAGGAAGTGGAATATAAAAAATTCATTGGGTAATGCTGGGATGCCGCTCAGTTGTTGCTCCACAGAATTTCGAAACTTCGCTCTCCCCAATTCATTCAACAGAGAGCCGCAGCGCCCCACAGCCCCAGAAGCAGCAGCAACAACACCCGAAATACACACCCACGCACGGTGCTCTCAGCAAATAGAGCCATGCCCGCCAACTCGCTGTAATGCCCGTGCTCAGGCAAAATGCCAGCGTCCGAGGGTGCTGTTGCGTTGGACTCCAATGAGATCATGATTTCTCCAGGCGTTGTGTTTGTGTTACCCGGTGCGGTGTCGACTGTCTGTGGCACCTCCTTGCCGTCTTCAGAAGAAAATTCGGCTCCGTCAGTCCGAGAGATGTTGTCAGTGTTCTCCGCGGATGTCGGTTCAGCGTCACTCTTTGAAGGAGTGAGGCTGCTGTCTGAGCCCATTGCTCTCTCGGAATTTCCGTCCCCGGCCTCGAGGCAGAGGCTTTGCTCCGCGCCGGTGGTTCCGGTTCCAGTGGACCGCACGTCGTCATTTTCAGTGGAAAGCTCAGTGCTTTGTTGCACTTGGTGCCCACTGTCAACTGTTTCGGTGGCCGTATCCATATCCGATGATGCACCCACTGAAGACGTTGATTCGTCACTCCTGTCATTTGTTCCTCCCTCCTCCTCTGGCTGTTCTTTATCATAACTTTCAGCGGATCCTTCAACATCAGTGACCCCCGTTGATTCTGCTGACAGCAGTTCTTGTGGCTGCAGGTCTGAATCCCGTTGCATCGATTTATAGTCTTCATTCAGCGTGCCTTGCTGAACCGATTCCTCTGGGTGAAACTGGGCATTGTCCTCTTGACGGGAATTCTCTGCGCTCTCCGTTGCGGTGGCAGGTTCGGAAACAGATGCTCCTCCGACAACCGTGGAAGAGGACGCTGCAAGCACTGGATTATGGAGGCTGTTTTCCCCTTGTTTATCCGTATCGCCATCTGCCAATTCATGGCTGGCGGTGCTTTCTTCACTCCTTGACTCGGAAGCAACCGAAGCGCCTGTGTTGGTCACCGGACCGGTGGGTTTTTCCTCAACACCCAGTGATGGAATAGTGACTTTGCTGTCTGGGAGTTCATCCAGATCATTTCCCCACAGTTCCTCGTTGTACAGCATGACGTTGGTCACCGTCACGTGGCCCCCCGTTGCACTTTGGTGCTTACTGTCCCCACCGATGTAGAAGTGTGAAATCCTGTGCGAGTCGAACAGACTCGTATTGTATCTCTGGTGGTGGATTTCCTTTTTATCTACAATGACAGTCCAAGAATAGAAATCCATTCGCAGTACCACCTGATATGTCTTGTTTGGCTCCCACTCATCGACGAGCTTCGAAGTAGCACGATTCCCCGCTATGGCCAGCCACTTCTTTTCATGGGTGTACGACAGACCAAAGAGCACCGTGCTGTCGGTGTCGTTCATCCTCACACCCATCAAGGGCCTGCTGTCTTCCTTCGGCACCTCATGGATGGACACCGTCGCCACAAGAGTGAACTTGTTGTTCGCAAAGTAGTACGGCACAGTCTGCCCCATGTCGCCAACAGGCCACACCGCCCCTGCACTGGACCCTTTGAACGTCACTCCATTGGGAACCCCTATCCTTTTTTCCGCCGGCCCATGGACAATGGCGTTCACGCCGAGGTACTCGTCTCGCCACTCGGTCACAGAGAAGTTACCAGACAAGAAGCCAACAACCCCCTTGGTGGGAAAAGTTCCATTACAAATACCCTTTTTGCGCGCGTCAACAGTGCCGCTGGAAGCGGAACGGCATGAATACAAGGCGCTGTCCAAATCCTTCCATTTATTCACCACTTCCTTTACCCGCTCCAGTTTCTCGGTCAGACGCACAGCGACAAGAATGTATGACCCGTCGCTCTTCTTGTTCTCGTACAGTGAAATCAACTCACTATTATTATCTTTTATCAACAGCGAGCTCGCGGCGGCGTCACCATCTTTACGAGATACCGGCCCAACATCATGCACACGTGCATTGTCCGTCACCCAAAGATGAAGCCGACCCTCTCCATTGTCTTCCTTCGGATACACCGGCGCGGTGATGAGCATCACCTCCTTACCCTCAATGATTGCGGTGGTGGATCCACTCTGGACGCCATGCCCCTTTCGATCATGTGAGTTGCCCCAAACGCGGGTAATTGGCTCACCATCTGGATTCCAATTGTACCCATTCTCAGTGGACCTGTAAACGTCATAGTAGCCTCCAGCACAATGAGCCATCATGAAGAGTCTTTCGTCGTATTGGTCTTCCCACTTCACCAGGGTTGGATCCCTGCAGCCGTTACCAGGCGTTTTTTGCGAAAGCCACCATTTGTCCTCCGACTTGGAGAGACGCATAGACAGCAAAACGCTCGTTCCATCGTTGCCTTTGGCCTGCATGGGAAACACAAGCGCGCCGTCACACATCACAGCGCCCGATCCTCCACCGCCAGTTAACTCGGTCAAGGAATAAGAATCTCCTCTGCCTTGAGGCTCCACTGTATGTGTCTCATTCCACACAAGTTTCTTCTTCTTTCCACCATCCACCATGACAGTTCCCTTCACGAGTAAAAGGCCCCGCTCATTCTTACCCCCAACCTGCGGCTTTGTACGGCTTTGGTTTCCCAGGAGCATGTAAACACTGTCCCCAAGCACAAGCGTCGTTGGTCGCAAGACTTCCGTTGTCCCAAAATTATTCGCGGTGGTGTCCCCAAGATGCATGCAAAACAAACTTATATCCGACGTAGAAATATCCAATGGGTCATCACTTATATTCAGGTGCTTTGAGACAATCCCAGCACGGCGGCCGGATCCGTTCTCCTCCCCGCACTGCGCTTCAGCAACGGCAAATACATCTTCACCCACTTTAACAAGGCCAGAAACACGGAGCGAGGTGATTTTCCTTCCGGCCTCGTTAGACTCCTTCCAATTAGCAAGCGGTATCGACGTCGTCCCTGTAAAAGGATCAACAGCGGCCCCTGTCTGCTCAGCGTGCGCGGCTCCACTGCCGCAGCACACCATCACGACGAGGAGGAGCACCGCGGAAGTAGACACACGCCGGGACATGTTGGGCCTCTGCGGCTCACTCTCTCTTCCTTCCCTCCTTCCGCTGGATCCGGTCACGCCGCAATGGTTGTGTGTGCGGGGTACCTTCACAGCAGCAACACGTGAGAGCATGTAAATATGTGTGTGGGCGGTGTGTGTGCTGTTGGTCCTTTCAGAGCCTTACAATTTCACAGTAGCGTTTAGCGCTTGGTTGCTTTCTTCCTAGCGTGTGTGTTCAAGAGGTAGAGGGAAAGGGAAAAACAAGCCAAGTAAAGAGGTGAGACAGCGAGCACCGCCACTCCGCACCGGCCACCGCGGGCGTCACGGCGGGCCGTCGGTGTGTGCGGGCCAGCCCTCACGTGGTGCAACACGCCTCACCCAACAGGGAAATGACAGACAGACAGACGGAGAGAAAGAGGGAGATGGATGCCGTCAAGAGGCACTCACAATCAACATGGCCCGTGAGCATGCGGCCACTCCACGCAGGAACACAGGAGAAAAGGATGACAGAGGAAAAAAGCAAGAAGCAGCACAAACACACACCGCAAAACAGCATCCACAAAACAAATGCACACACTGCCAGCAGTCACACCAATGGACAAGAACGAGAAAAGACACAGCGCCACTGCCTCCAGTTCAATCCCATGGCCAACGGGATGCGGCCACAGCCCGCAGCCAACACACAGCGCACACCGAGCCAGTAATCACCCAAAGAGTCACACGCAGAAGCGGATCCTCATCCATCAAAGGGATGCGGCGCCTCAGTCCATGCGGTCACACGGAGTGCACTGTCTCCCCAATAGAAATTATTCGTCGTCCATCCCTTAAAGATGCTTCTGTTAGTGATGGGCCTTCGAACACAATAGAAGAAAATGGACAATGCAGTGGTGCTGCGACACCGCCAGCAACAATGATTCCCTCACACCGGGGCAATTCTCCAATTACGCCTCGTATGCACACACACAATAAACACACTATGTAGAAATCACCCAATGTTTTCCACCAGAAACCAAACAACCCCTTTCCCTCCCTAACTTTCTTCTGTCACTGTTATGTATGATGGCGTTGGTCATTTTTGACATCTTTTTGTAACACTGTCACCTGGTGCTGGTGCATCCGCACCGTATGCACACAAAAAAGTATCCACAAATATATAAATCCCACAATATTTTTTAACCAGAAATCAAAACTATCCCTTTCATTCCCTAATTCGTTCTCCTATTTCGTTTTTCCTCACCTCAGAGAGCTTCGTCCCTTCTGGCATCGTCCGACGATATTGCTGCCATGTACTGGTGCACCTCTTCCTCCCAAAACACCGCCATTTCACGGTTTCCAGCGCGGCTCGCATTATTGGAATTGTCGACATCACATCTCTGCCAGCCATTCATCGGCGTGCTGCACGTAAATCATCTCCCACGACACGTCTCGGGATAACTCCTCCCAACCATCAAAATATGCCGCCAGGCACTCAGTGAAGTGCCTCACAGTGCTGGTTGTCGTGTGGTGCCCACTCGCCGTAGTCATCCGCAGCCCAACCAGCGTCTTCCGCGGTATCCTCAGAAAAAAAAAAAAGCAGTCCACCAGCGGAAGGCCTGCACCCACCGGTGCGTACAGCAGCCGATGCTTTATATTAGTATTTGTATGGTATTCCATTGCAACCACTCCACATAAGACTCGGCGGGGTGCCCTTCAGGGTTCGCCTCCAGCACCGCGCACCGTCCTCCACGGCGTGCTGGTGGCCTCAGCTCCTTGAGTTCCTCTAATAATGCACTGACAAACTCACTCCAAACGTGAACACTCGCAAGCCAAACCCTCCCATACGTTCAGACAAAAGAGTATTCCTCTTCCCCAATACTAGCAACAGAAAAGAAAAATACCTTTCTCACTCATCACGTTTCCAGAAATAGAGCGGTATTCGACGCCCGAGGCAAACAGATATCGGTGCGTTGAGAAATACCTCAGCACCGACTTCTCCTCTTGTTCGGACAACCCTCACAAGTTTGTGAGACGGATCCTCGGAATACCACAGCCTCACTCCCCCATGCGTAAAGTGGCTTTCACCATCCCGGGGATTGATCCCATCCAAGGCATCCTCAGTGGCAGCAAAGTGCGCAAGGAACTTATTCGCATCAAAGATGTAACGTGGTATCGGCCCCACTTTTTCCATGTGTGTTTCGACCATCTTCCAGTATTTCGTTTGCTCATCTGGATCCAGACCTCGCTTCATCCATGCACACATCGCCTTCACATCCATCTCGGCGGGGCAATTCATGATGATTCGCGCCGCTCCTTTTTGTTTCTCCCATTTATCATAGTTGGTTACCTTTGGGAATGACACCGCAATCATGCCCCATGCGTAAGAGAGCAAAAAAAAAAACTGCGCTGGCTGTGTTTCTTTCTTTGCCACATCGTAGATAATATGCCCTTTAGTCTCACGCTGCCTTAAACTCCTCACAGCCATGATGCATTTTTCCTCATCGACATATTTTGTCACCGTCTGGATGGCCTTTTCAAACATGTACGCCTCACCTTCACCAAAACAGTAGACAACAAATTGGAGTTTCTCGACATCACAGTGCAGCAGCTGGTAGAGAGGGCACAAACCGGCAGCCATCGACTCCCGATCCCGGGCGTCCCAATCAACAGACGCCGCACGGATGAAGAATTGGTACTTAAGTCCAGTGTGCTCAACCATCCGGTTAGATCATTCCTGACGGTCTGCCACACTCGCTCCACCTCACAGTTCACATGGCAGCCACGAGTGGATCCATCCTCCTCCACGTGTACGGCCATCCCTTGTCCGAGGTGAGCACCATCAGCCTGGGACGCGGTGCACCGGACTGCTCCACACCGTCATTCCTTTCGAGAGTGTCGCCAACTGCCTTGTACGTCCATGACCGCGGTGGTTCACCCTCCCTCACCTCCATTACCGTCCCCTCGCCGTCAGGAACTTCCACGAAATGGTGCCAACTCGCATTGTACACAGACTCGTAGCATCCCTCCAGTTTCATCGGTGCACTAGACTTCTTTGGTTCCCTCGCTTCCTCGGCGGCCGCATCCAAAAACCTTTTAGTGACTTCATGAACATTTGCCTTTACCTCCGCAGCCGCCACCAACCACTTCAGTAGATTGTCCACACCATTTTTGTAAAGCCTGTTTACATCCTCTTCCATATCCATTTCATCCCTTACAGCCCTCTCCATCGTATTGTAACGATCGGATGCCTGTATTTTGAGCAGTAAAAACACATCGTAAATATACTTTGTGGAGCAAATAAAAAAATCCCTCAGCAAGAAATTCCAATTGGCGCTCCCAACGCCTCTGCCGTCCAATTCCATCGTAAGAAAATCATTCAGTTTCATTTTATTCACGCGAACCCTTCCCTTAAGCACCGCATATTTAATCCTAGTGGAAACGTCAATTCCCATTTCTTGTCGTTCTCGCCTTTGCCTTTCTTCTGCCTCCCATCTCTCTTCTCTCAGTACCCGAGAAAAGGCTGTGTTTATTTGTGCCCTTGCAAGAGGAGTGACCGTATCCTTTCTTTCAAAGTTACTCCATTGCTCAAGAGTGATAATACATTCTTTTTTAAGCTTATTTGAGGCCTCCAATAGCATGTAAAACTCCTCACGCTCTTTTTTCAGCTCTTGGTATGGCGGCGATACCTTTATTGTGCTCAATAATACTTCGTCTTTGATGAACTCATTGGGGCTAATTAAAAAGTACTTCATATAGACGTTCTCATTGAATTCCTCAACGCCCCTGCCGTCAAAATAATTACGAAGGAAATCATTCAGCCTCATGTTGGTGATGCGTTCCTTTCCCTCCAGCAGCACATCTTCCAGCCGACTTTCAAGAGTCCACTGCGGTTGCCGCGGTTCCTCCACTCTTATGTGGGTCGCAGCGGGTTGATTCGTGTCGCCATGGGACTCTGGCCTTGCTCTCGTCTGACCATCTCCCTGCGGCACAGCAGACGCTTGACTCTCGGTATTATCGTCACCCTGCACTCTCTTGCGCTTTCCAGGCATTGTTTCTCCTTGTCTTCGTAGTTGGATTGAGTTACAAGCTGAACACTAACCACCAATTAAAAAGAAAAATATATATATATATACGCACAGACATGACTGTGCAACCACAACAAGAGAGCAATCCACACAGTGTGACAGCACAAAGTGGCTTCCATTACGCAATAAAAAAAAGAAATGTGCATTTCAGCACAAAATAGAAGCAAATCAAAAAGAATAATCTTCCGGGCAGCTGGCCGGATCCTGAAATTATCTATGGAACCAAACAAGTTAGGGAAAAGGTTCGTTAGTTAATTGCTTCAATGTTTTCTTTTCATTCAATATATAGAATTCTGTGGACCACCAGCATGGTCCTTCGTCCTCAGTTAGGATATACATATTGTTACTTACGAAGTGGCAGACTTTGGGGTCCTCCAACCACAAGATCCCACCGCTCACCCTCACAAGTTCCATCCCTTCGTCAATTCCTAAAGTTTAAAAACACGACCGCGCGATATGCCGTATGCGGGGTTTTCTGCTGACTGCACGTAAACAAAAGTTGCCTGCATGCCGCGAGAGTCCAAAAACCCATATATCCGTTGCAGCTCCCACCTCAAGGCGTGTGATTTGAGCCGCCTTTATTCGCAGCTCCTTGCAGCAAAGTGTTGTCCACCCAATGTCCATGGTGGATGGCAAGATGGCGGAAAAGACCGATAAGGCCAAGCGTACCGCGCAGGCATCGGCCTGCATGATGAGAAAAGGCTTCTTCTCGCACCTTTCCCCGGCAATTTTAACGTCGCCGGAGTCTGGAATAAAAACGGCTCCCCATCCATGGAGCGATGCGTCCGTGATGATGGCGGCCGGCGCCTTTTCCGTGGGCTTGTTGTTTCGCTTACGATTGTTCCCGATCATTTTTCGTAATCACTCGCACAAACCAAACGCTGACGGCGGAAGGTTCGCCGGGGATGTCTCCAGCACAATCCCCCGGTCAAGTGCGGACAATCGTCGTCGCACTGCCTTGATAAAAAAGTAGTAGTCACATAAACGCGTGCACAAAATGGCAGCCGCGTACAAAAAGCGTGACGCCACAACCTCCATTCCCGCGATGGTTAAATACTTCAGCGCCGGCGT